AACCCACGAACTCTCGGACATGGGCCCAGCGCCCTACCGACCAGGATATCCCGGCCTCTAACTTTCCTGTAAAAGAAACTAATTAATAAACACTATATTTTTGTAACGAATTTTGATCGGTACCACAGCAGTCTTGAGCTTCTCCTTCCTCGAGTTCGGCCTTGATTACATCGCAGGTACAGTGCACTAAAAGAAAAAAAACGGACCATTTTGAGTAACTTTTGATCTAATGATCGGATCTTCACGTTTTAGGACTCGTTCTTAATGGTTTGGGATGTTGACCTCAATTATGAAAATAAATTATTGCAGAAGCTATTTTAAGTTACGAAATCAGACACAAAAAAGTACTTTCTTTATGTAAACATACTTTTTTCTTTGTTTTGTTTTTAAGAATTCGGATATTTGAAGGTTTGATCGCATTTTGATTAGAATGCAGCTGCGGTAAAAAGTTTAGACTCCTTAATGTTAATTTTACTTTTTACATATTTCGCCATATCTCGTGTAAGGTAGAAAACTTTTGCGCACAGTTATAAGTTCTGCGCAAAAAATAAATTTCAGTATATATTTATTATATCTTATCTTTATTTAGTAATATTCGGAAAAAAAAAACATGAGTTGTAAGGTATAAAATTTTTTGCATCATTTTAAAGTATCTAATTTCAAAATACAAAATTCGAGCGAAATCGGTTCAATAGTTGCTGAGAAATGGAATTTTAAAAAAGTCGTATATTTAATATATTCAACCTATTTCGTTCAAATTTTAAATTTTGAAATTAGATAATTTAAAATGAAATTTTTTTAAAAATTTTAAGACTTTACAATTCAAAATTTTTTCTACTATTATTAAATAAAATATAATAAAAAATAATAAATATTAACTGAAATTTACTTTTTGCGTGGTAAAAATAAAAGTTTCTTCTTAATAAATTTGAAGAACGTTCATGTGCTTATAATTTGTCAGTTCTTTTATATCCATTTAACTATTACTATAACGTAAAATAAAATTTTAAGTAAAGGAATGGGAATTTTTCTTTTTAAAATTGTATACCAATGAAATAAAATATTATTTTTATTAAAAATAATGTCTGTCTTCTGTCTACCATACCTACTTTATAACTTAACTATTACAAAAATATAGATTATTATTTTATTTTTATGATTATTATGTTCGAATATTTTAGCTATATAGAAGAGCATGGCAGAAATAAACGAAAATCACATAAAATGCTGTATTCTGTAATGGAATAGTATTTATTTTAATCTTAGATAAATGAACACATTTTTTAAAAAAAAATGTAATATTGGTTTATTTGCTAGCTTTAAAGCTAAAAATGATTATTTTGTTGGTTTAAAATACATATTTTTTCTTCTTTGCATTAAATAAAGGGACTTTTTCCATGAATTATTGTGAAGATTCTTTGCTTTTTTGCCTCGTCATTGTTTAAAATTTAAAACAAAATTATTAGTTTTAGTATTTAATAAAGAAATTTTAATTTGTTTATTTTTTATTATTTATTTAATTTACATTTAGTGCTTATTTGTTTAACATGAATCACGAATTGTGAGCAATTGTTTTTTCACAAAATGTTTATTCGAATATACCGTCCCTGGCTAAATTATTAGACGCACTATGAGATTCTATGTAAAATCTTAATTATCAGGTCATACTATACAGCTTTACTGTTTTTACGCGACTGAAACCGGTTTGCACTTGTTTACGTTCGTGTATCAATCGGTTAAATTAGACGATATATAATATAAATTTGACGTTAGGCTAAATTAGACGATATATAATATAAATATAGAATATTTATTATATTAGTATTTTATAATAATTAGATCAAATTATTAGACCCAATGTAGTTTTTTAATATTTAAATGTTTTGCACGAGTTTGTATGCAATACTTTTGCATTGAAACATACATGTAATGAGTTTTTATTCAGGAGATTTTTTATATACTTTCTATTTGTATTTATTTTTAACGTATTGCATTACAATGTCAACCAATTGATACAGGAGTGTAAACAAGTGCAAACCGGTTTCATCCGACAATAAAGCTGTATAGTATCACCTGATGATTATAATTTTACATAGAATCTTATAGTGCGCCTAATAATATGGCCGGGGAATAATATGGTGAGGAAACTATCTACTGGAATGATTTAATTTACCATCATCTTGTTATTTATTTGGATGCATTTCATTTAATTAAGGTAAGAAAGCCCTTACTTCCGGAATAAAATCAAGATTATTTTAAATGCCTTTCCAAAGATTCTGCCTAGTTCCCATTTTGTATTTCATCATCCATTAAAAATGCACATCATCCGCGTATCCTTCCTCGAAAGCTCACAACCATGGCAGACCCTTTCCAGAGCGATGTCGTGCAACGCTGGAAAAAAACCATGTAATATTTATTAGCGCTTTCATTAATATCATTGCTTTGAGGTTGATGGAGAGCGTCTGGCCTTCTGTTTCTGCGCCACTGGGGAGCCGCAAACCCTCGAATGCAATAACGTAATTGCGAGAGCATCCTCCGAGACCCACACACTCATATAGTTTTGTTCGATGTGCGGCTAGTTTCAACTACGCTCTTCTACCCTCCAACTATTATTCTCATAATAAAAGAATGGAGAGAACACCAGAAGATCACACAATGTTCGCGGAACAAACCCCAAGTCTGCCAAAAATAATGACAAAAGAAAGAAATAATCTTCGACAAGATGGATGGTACGTCTTCCCCTAAGTATTAATTTTTGTTTTGCTTGATTTGTTCCGGACTTCGTATAACTGTGGATCAGAAGACAACCAAAAAAGAAGAAGTTGGGGTGATATCCGTTATTTGGTGTCTGATAAACAGCTTGGAAGAAGCATGGCTGAGAGATTAACCTTTTCATAGTCACATGTGTGGCTGATAAACTTAGAAAAGTTTATTCATTGTTGTGTGGCTGGGGAAGAGTTTTGAATTTATGTTTTTTCAGAGTTAAATAAAATGATTAAATATATTTCTGTTTGCATACAAAATTAGGCATTTTATAAATGCTTAAGTGAAACTATTTTTTGACTGTTACACAGATTATCGGTGATAATTGCTATACGAAATTAAATGTCCCATTTTGACTTAACATAAATAATAAATATGTCGATTATGTGAAAAAAATGAACGAATTAAAAAGCGATTTAGTAATAAGCGGTTTATGCGGGTTTTAAATATTTCCAAGAAATGTATAATTATTGATTAATATTTTAATCTTATTTTTTTTTACTCGAATAAGTTCTAAATCATGATACTAACACTGAAAAAAAACTGTTAAAATTACCGAAATATGGTAAATTTTACGGTGTTCCTGGCTTTATGGGAACACCAAAAACGGTTAAAACAAAAAGTTCGGTAATTTTTATCATTAACATACCCTTTGGTAATGATTTTGGTAAATTTAACAATAAAATATGGTGTTATTATATGTGATAAAATTTGCGTAATGTGTTAAAATTTTTAAATTTTATCGATGTACTTTAGAACATGGCATGAAAACCATTTATTTATTCAGATCGGAAGCATTAGTATCACTCATTTATTCGGTTGAATTTACTTTTCAGTTTTGTATTTTTGTTTTTAAATGAATGGTAATAAGAACTATTTAAAAACAAGAATTTTTGGTAAACTGTACCATAGGAACGAAAAAAAAAACGAAATGAGCGGTTTCAATACCGTATTTTTAATGAAAAAAATACCGTAATTCAATACCGTATTTTTAATGAAAAAAATACCGTAATTTTTATGAATTGTATAATTTAATTAAATCTTAGCCTAAATGATTAATCCAATTTAAAGGATTGTTTGAAAACAAGTACTCGACGTAAAAAAAAGACGTGGCTGGATAATTTATTTATATAAGATACATATACTCACCTAAGTTTCTGATATATTCTATAAATATTCAATGGTTATGATCTTGATTACGTGGCACACATTAAAATGGAGAAACAGTTTTGTCTTGACTTCAACGGCATGTTTTTGTCAATGTCAACCACAAAGGCAATAATACCTTAATTTCATTGTTGATGGCATTGAGATTATATGCATAAACTTGTGAAGTTAAAAAATTGTGCACTCCCAATACCAACATGTGAAGTTAAAAATTTATGCACTCCCAATGCCAATTTGTGAAGGGAAAAGTTTATGTACTCCCGATGCCAACTTGTGAAGGCAAAAGTTTATGCACTCTCAATGCCAACTTGCGAAGGGCGAAGTTTATGCACTCCCAATGCCGATTTGTGAAGGGAAATGTTTATGCACTCCCGATGCCAACTTGTGAAGGGAAAAGTTTATGCACTCCCAATGCCAACTTGCGAAGGGCGAAGTTTATGTACTCCCAATACCAATTTGTGAAGGGAAATGTTTATGCACTCCCGATGCCAACTTGTGAAGAGAAAAGTTTATGCACTCCCAATGCCGATTTGTGAAGGGCGAAGTTTATGAACTCCCAATACCAACTTGTGAAGGGCGAAGTTTATGCACTCCAAATGACAACCTCTAAAGGACAAAGATTATGCTTTCCTAATGCCAACCTCTAAAGGACTAAGTTTAGGCAATGCCAACTTGTGAAGGACAAAGTTTAGACACTACCAATGCCAATATATGAATGCCGACATTAAGCACCCCCCTCTCATTGCCTTAAATATAGCTAAAACTACATCACTGTTGTTGAGCTGTGATTTACCATTAGTATAGGTACCGGGTAATCAAGGATGCACAGATTTGTATTCTGTACCAGACACCCGGTGAGTAGCTGTATCTTTCCATGCATCACTCGTCTTTGTACGTCATATACTTGTAAATAAACAGATCTTTGTAAATGGGGAGAATCATTTAGGCTAGCGGTATTTTTACAACACTTATACAGAAACGGAATTGCGTAGAATCACTATATGTTGTTGCGTTGATATTTTGTTAGACAAATATATTTCTTAATTGATGTTTTTTTCCCTTTATTTCAGCCTCTATTGGAACAAACCAAGACCGCAAAGGTCCCGTGTTCACTTACGAACCTCCCAACAAAGTGGAGTTTTCAAACGCAACAGGAACTGTCATTCCGTGCTCTGCAGAAGGAATACCACCACCGACGATTAGGTGGGCACATGCTCTGGACGGTAGTTTTATTTCGGACGTTGCTGGATTAAGGCATGTCCGGCCTGACGGATCTCTTGTGTTTCCACCTTTCAGGGCCGAAGATCAAAGACCGGACATTCACGTGACAGATTACAGGTGTATCGCCAGCAACTCGGTTGGGTCCATCGGAAGCAGAGATGTTAGAGTCAAAGGAAGTAAGTGTTAATCATATTTTTATATTTGATTGATTATTAAAATTATTTAAATGGTTTTAAAACTGTAAAATTGTACGAAAGTGACGTCCAGTGAACCAAAGAAAAACAAAGTGAATAACTTTTCTTCTTATAATCACAAAGTACCAACCTTAATGACTCTAAGAATTCACATCAAATATAATGATATATGTTGGCATTGATTAAATTACGAAATCTAAAAAAAAGTCCTATTTTTAATTTTTTTTTATTTCTTAAGAACTATTCGACCAATTTTACACATTTTTTTTATATTTTCATTTAAATGTACATAAATTCCAATTCAAATTATGAAAAAAATTGTGTATACCGAACAATATTAAATGAATTACGCAAATTATATGAATAAATTCAATTTTATGTCTCCAAAGCTACTTGAAATTTGTTTGTATTTCAAATAGAGCAGAAGTTATGGTAATTTAGATTCGGCAAAAAAGTATCACCCATCTTTTCAGCTTTTTATCTCAAAACCTCTGTGTATCTGTGTTACTTGTGCTAATGGAAGAAAACTTGCTACTTCCGTCTGAAAAAAAAGTACTTTTATTCAGAAATTTTTTGTTTTTGATTTAGTAACTTAAAATATCATCTGCACTTATTTTTTAGCATATTTGAGGTCACCCACTCGAACCATTAAGAATGAGTACTAGAATGTGAAGATCCGATCATTAGATCAAAAGTCATTAAGAGTGCTCTTTTTTGGCGCATTGTACATTATACATGCATAAAAAATTTTAACAAAAATTTAAAACTTTATCGCCAAAGTAGTTCGCGTTTTTTAACTTAAAACGATGACGCTTAGATTCCAGTTAAATACGTGGGTTAATCGGTTATATTTTTTTTAATTAGCAGTTAAAATTTTTTAGACGTTTAGGTTTTTAAAAAAGAATAAAAAAAACGAATAGTTATTTAAGTTCAAGCCAAAAAGCTTTTTTTTTCTTGGAACAAATGTACTTGAAAAATGCAATAAAAAAAATCGCAATCTTTTTACATTTTTAACCATCTTTTTCTACAAAAAAGAAATATATTTATTAAAATTCACTTGCCTGCATCCATTTTTTTTATTTCTGATATGAATAATGTATCTTGTAATATAAATGAATTGAGCTGGTATAACCAAAAGAGTCATTTTTCAAACACATTCAATATCCATACACAATACAAATATTTATATGTCAAATATTTTTAAGTGTGTCAAATATATATATTAACCATAAAAATATATTTAAATAAGTCAGATATATTTCTTTCTGTTTCTAGTAAAACTTATCGAAAATTTATATCACATCACAAATACAACTCAGAATTATTTTTATTCATACCAAATCTATATGATTACCGCTTGGAGTAACTCGAGCACTTTCTATTCAGATATAAATTTACGAAAGTCGTACTACATTTAATTCGAAAAAGCTCACGTTTGCGGAAATATTCCCTTTGAATAAATTTAAAATTTCTTACAATTTGTTTTCAGTTTTAAGTCAAGAAACATATATTTATAAATGGTATTGAAGGAATGTTGTAGCGCATCAAAATATCTCAACATAAGCAAATAATCGCAGCACACTTTCCATTTCTTCAAATGCCTTTTTTACTCTTTGTATCGGCATTCCTTACATTTTATATCTGATTATCTTATAAGGCATTTATTCTTACGTAGTTGATCTCGTTATTGTATTATAACGTAGCCAGAGGAGCATTTATTTAAATTTACTTTTTGTTTCAGTCAATATTTTACTGCATATATATTCAACATCTCATATTCAATAAAAAAGTAAATAAATGTTTTTATTCTGATGGAGCGAAATATTTTTATTCCACTGCTGTGTTCTCTTTTGGAGTATATTTATTCTCCAGAAATCTATAACGCAACCCCTACTGTATCTATTTTAAATCAGTTTTTTTCTTCTTTTTTTTAAAAATTTTCTGTTCAGAGTGCGAGAGAAAGGAATGATACATTTTTCATAAGTCCATATTTATGAATAGTTTTGAAGAAGGAACTATTCATCTATGTTTTTAAATTTAGTTTTTTATTTCTGTATAAAATGCAAAATACTGATTATTATGGATGGTGACCTATTTTTTGTTTAACTCAAAAGAATACTCATTGCATATCAGAATTTAATGAACTTAATTTTATAAAGAGAACCCTCACAAAGCAAATTTTATTCCCCGAATACATTGTGAGCAAGATGAGCATAACTTTAAAATTCAACTTAACTTATTTTGTAACTTAAAAGAATACTTATTGATCACAGAATTTAATGAACTTAATTTTATAAAGAGAATCCTCATAAAGCAAATTTTATTCCCCGAATACATTGTGCCCAAGATAAGCATAACTTTAAAATTTAACTTATTTTGTAACTTAAAAGAATACTTATTGAATATCAGAAATTAATGAACTTAATTTTAAAGAGAACCCTCATGAAGCAATTTAAAAGAATACTTATTGAATATCAGAAATTAATGAACTTAATTTAAAAGAGAATGCTCATAAAGCAAATTTTAATCCCCGAATACATTGTGAACAAGATGAGCATAACTTTAAAATTTAACTTAGCTTATTTTGTATCTTAAAAGAATACTTATTGAATATCAGAATTTAATGACTTAATTATAAAGAGAACCCTCATAAAGCAAATTTTTATCCCCGAATACATTGTGAGCAAGATGAGCATAACTTTAAAATGTAACTTAACTTATTTTGTAACTTAAAAGAATACTTATTGAATATCAGAATTTAATGAACTTAAATATGATGAGAACTCTCATAAAGCAAATTTTATCATTTTTTGTATCTTAAAAGAATACTTATTGAATATCAGAATTTAATGAACTTAATTATAAAGAGAACCCTCATAAAGCATATTTTTATCCCCAAATACATTGTGAGCTAGATGAGCATAACTTTAAAATTTAACTTAACATATTGTGTAACTTAAAAAAATACTTATGGAATATCAGAAATTAATGAACTTAATTTTAGTACCCTCATAAGGCAAATTGTAATCCCCGAATACATTGTGAGCAACATGAGAATTACTTTAAAGTTTCAGAAGAAGAGCTAAATGTTTCAAATCATCCTTATTAGCTTTTAATATTTGCGCATGAGTTCTTAAGGTTATTAAACGTTATTTCCTTCAATTTTATAAAGCGAATCTTTTATTTACCATACATTTTATTTTATATTTATCTACGTTTAAGACACAACATTAAACTATGCGTCAAATGGTTCCAATTAACATCATCAGATTTTAATGAATTTTGCTTATGAGTCCTAAAAATTCTTAAAAATTATGTCTCCCAATTTCGTAACGAGAATCCTTTATTTTCTTTAAAAAAATATCTTCGTATAATACATAACATTAAATTGTGTGCTACCTGATGTTTGCTTAACTTCTGGAGATAAGAGTCAAATGATTCACATCAGCTTTTGAAAGAAAGAAAAAAGAAACTACGAAAGATTTCTAAAAAGTATTCAAAGCTATTTCATTCAATTTCGCAAAACGAAGCCGATAGTTTCTACCTATCTTTTCCTTAAAAGTTATCGTACTGCATAGTTATATTATACCGTCAAATGTCATTTCAGAACAAAAAATAAGAAAAAATCTAAAATCAAAAGCCAAAAATTAAAATAAAAATCCTGAACTCCAAGTTGGTAAAAGAAAGACAGTTCACAATCTCACTCAGGCCTCAAGGTGTTATATTTAGCATAATGCAGGCTGCTTTAAAAATCAAACAAGAATAAATTTTCATTGAAAACGCGGGTTTTTGTAAAAAAAATAATTGATTTCTATCGTTGATTCGGAAAGTATACATCATAAGGTTTTGTGTGGATTTGCTGGTTTATGATACGGTTGTGTAAGGATACGCGCTATTTTCATCAAATTGTACAAATGTGGGTTTAATTCAAATTGCACAAATGTGGGTCCATTGATACAGGTTTCGATTTCTTGCACACCTCTTAAAATACTAGATAATTGTGGATTTTTGGACGTCAAACTTAAGACTTAAAAGTATCCTACAGCGTTAAATCGTATAATCAACGCTATAGCTACCGATTCTGTTAACGAAAACGGCAAACGGTAGAGCACGTTGTTTTTTGCAACGCACGTGGGAAAAAAAAGCTAATTGAAGCTGTCAATGTTAAAAGGAGGTACGTAGCAGATTTACGAAAATACGTTTTTAGTCAGTTTTGGAATATCAATTACCGATTATCAAATACCCAGTCATTTTCTAGACTGCCTAAAGAAGAGAATCCAACAATTAGGAAGTAATAAAAACAATCTTTCCACAATTTTTTTTCTTCTCGGAAGTGTAGATTTGTAACATACCCCCTTTTAACATTGACCCATTCAGCTAATTTTTCGCATGTCACATGCCCAGTGGCTGTAATAACCCATGTTGTTTTGATTAAAATATGCTTAAATTCTTTCTTATAACTACATAGGACTGTTCTTTTCCAGTAGACAAAAGTATTTTATGTTAATCAATCATTTTTTCTTAAATTACCCGTTTTCATGAGGGAGAGATAATTACTCACTTCTGTTTGAAAGCTGGCAAAATAAACATCATTTCTGTACCTATACCGTCTGGGAGATTAATGGTTATTGAAACTGCCGATCTCAACAAGGAGGCTGGCGCGATCCAAGTTTTCTCGCCAAGTTCAAGCAGAAGGGTACCTAATTGCAATTTAACTGCCGCAGATTTCATTGTGATTGTTAATCTCTCATCCAGGTCACGTGTTGCCACAGGATGCTTAAGAGAAACTATCAGTGCAAAATATCAACTCGGTTTCGTCAAAGGAAAAGTTTGGAAGGTGTGATTAAAGCGCGCAGAACATGTTGAAACACATTCTTTCATGGGAGGAAAAATTAAGCATTTATTAGAATGGCGGGGAGTTATTTGTTGTTCGCATTTGAGGGAAAATAATTATAATTAACACATTAGGTTTTGTGAGAAAA